ATTCAGGCGCGAGTGGTCTTGCTGTTAGCCATGAGTTCAATGTGAATGAAGCAACTATATATATTTAATAAGGTGTCTTTAAAAATAAACACATATAGGCCGGGTGCTGTGGCTCATGCCTGTAATCCCAGCACTTTGGGAGGCCAAGGCAAGGCAGATTATGAGGTCAGGAGTTCGAGACCAGCCTGACCAACATGGAGAAACCCCGTCTCTACTAAAAATACAAAATTAGCCGGGCGCGGTGGCGGGCACCTGTAATCCCAGCTACTCGGGAGGCTGAGGCAGGAGAATCACTTGAACCCAGGAGGCAGAGGTTGCGGTGAGCTGAGATTGCACCATTGCACTTCAGCCCGGGTAACAAGAGCGAAACTCTGTCTCAAAAACTAAAAAATAAATAAACACATATAAGGCCGGGTGCAATGGCTTACACGCCTGTAATCCCAGCACTTTGGGAGGCCAAGGTGGGCAGATCACTTGAGGCCAGGAGTTCAAGACTAGCCTGGCCAACATGGCAAAATGCCATCTCTACTAAAAATACAAAAATTAGCCAGACATGGTGGTGTGCACCTGTGGCCCCAGCTATTCTGGTGGCTGAGGCATGAGAATCACTTGAGCCTGGGAGATAGAGGTTGCAGTGAGCCAAGATCCCACCACTGCACTCTAGCCTGGGCAACAGAGCGAGACTCTGTCTCAATAAAATAAAATAAAATAACACATATAAAGCAAGGTTATGTATTGATCAGTTGATTAAAACGCTGTGACCAGAGGCTCATAGGAACCTAACCTTGTATTTCCCCAGGAACAACAGTTTAGTGTTCCCTAATTCAGTGTCCATGGCGACATTAAAGAACAGAACTACCACAAATAAAGAGAATCGACTCTGTGTGTATTCATTTATTGGTTCTTTTGTCTTTTTCTCCTGCTAGGAGAGTGCAGATGTTGTTCTCTTCTTCTGCCTGAACAAGGCACACAGTAGGTGCCCAATAAATGTTTGTTGAATCAATCAACTAATGAATAACATCAGAGTGGCTGGGCACTATGGCTTACGCCTGTAATCCCAACGCTCTGGGAGGCGAAGGCAGGTGAATCACCTGAGGTCAAGAGTTTAAGACCAGCCTGGCCAACATGATGAAACCCCATCTCTACTAAAAATGCAAAAATTAGCTGGACATGGTGGCGGCACCTGTAATCTCAGCTACTCGGGAGGCTGAGGTTGGAGGACCGCTTGAGCCTAGGAGTGTGAGGTTGCAGTGAGTTATGATGGCACCACTGCACTCCAGCCTCTGGGTGGCAAAGTGGGACCCTGTCTCAAAAAATAATAGTAAATAAAAGGCTAAGCATGGTGGCTTATGCCTGTAATCCCAGCACTTTGAGAGACTGAGGCAGGTGGATCACCTGAGGTCAGCAGTTCAAAACCAGGCTGGCCAAAATGGTGAAACCCGGTCTCTACTAAAAATACAAAAATGAGCTGGACGTGGTGGCAGGCACCCGTGATTCCAGCTACATGAGAGGCTGAGGCAGGAGAATTGCTTGAATCTGGGAGACAGAGGTTGCAGTGAGTCAAGATCATATAACTGCACTCCAGCCTGGGAGACAGAGAGAGACTCTGCCACACACACAAATAATAATAATAGTAATAGCTTCTGTGCCAGGCACCATTCTAAGTCTCTTATAAGAACTACATATTTAATCTAACCCTCACCACAAGGAGCTTCCAATCTGGGTCTCGGATTCTGTGGCTGAAAAGTGGAGATAGGAAAAGGCTTAGGGGCTGAGGAAGGGGGGATGGGTCTGGAGGTCAGAGCCTTTTGTAGACGGGGGTTCAGGGGAGACAGTTGCAGCTAAGCCCAGGTCCCAACCCAGCCCAGACACAGCAGGAGACAGGAGAGAGACGGCTCCAGGGGACACTGGTGTGGAAGCAAAAGGAGGCAGATCATGGTCTATATGTACAATGGAATATCATTCAAACTTAAAACATTTATGAGCAGCCAGGCACGGTGGCTCGTGCCTGTAATCCCCAGCATTTTGGGAGGCCGAGGCGGGTGGATCGCCTGAGGTCAGGAGTTCGAGACCAGCCTGACCAATATGGTGAAACTCCGTCTCCACTAAAACACAAAAATTAGCCAGGCGTCATGTCAGGTATCTGTAATCTCAGCTACTCAGGAGGCTGAGGCAGGAGAATCGCTTGAACCCAGGAGGCGGAGGTTGCAGTGAGCAGAGATCACACCATTGCATTCCAGCCTGGGCAATAAGAGCAAAACTTCGTTTAAAAAAAAAAAAAAAAGTATATCAGCTTGCTAGGGCTGCCCAAAAAATGCACCACAGATCTAGCTAAAACAACAGAAATTCGTTATCTCACAGTTCTGGAGGCTGGAGGTCCAAGTTCAAGGTGTCAGCAGGGTTGGTTTCCTCTGAGGCCTCTCTCCTTGACTTGTAGATGGCCACCTTCTCTCCGTGTCTTCACATGGTCATTGTCGGAGGGTTGGTGGGGCAGGGTTTTAAATGCTCACAGAGGCCAGACGTAGTGGCTCACATCTGTAATCCCAGCACTTTTGGGAGGCTGAGGCAAGATGATTGCTTAAGGTCAGGGGCTTGAGACCAGCCCTGGCAACATAGTGAGACCCCATCTCTATAAAAAATTTTTTAATTAGCTCGGCCTACAGTCCCAGCTATTCAGGAGGTTGAGGTGAGACGTGGGAGAAGATCACTTGAACCCAGGAATTCAAGGTTGCAGTGAGCTATGCTTGTGCCACTGCACTCCAGTCTGGGTGATAGAACAAGACCCTTCCTCTTAAATAAAACTAATTATTTTTTTAAAAGTTCACTGAGAGGCCAGGCGTGGTGGCTCACGCCTGTAATCTCAGTACTTTGGGAGGCCGAGGCGGGTGGAATCACGAGGTCAGGGAGATCGAGACCATCCTGGCTAAACATGGGTGAAACCCCGTCTGCTACTAAAAATACAAAAAAAAAAAAACTAGCTGGGTGTGGGTGACGGGCCACCTGTAGTCCCAGCTACCTCGGAGGCTGAGGCGGGAGAATGGCGTGAACCCGGGAGGCGACGCTTGCAGTGCAGCGAGATCGCGCACTGCACTCCAGCCTCGGGTGAACACAGCCAGACTCCATCTCCAAAAAAAAAAAAAAAAAAAGTTTCACTGAGAGGGCGGGCATGGGGCTCACGCCTGTAATCTCAGTACTTTGAGAGGGCAGGCGGGTGGATCATGAGGTCAGGAGTTCAAGACCAGCCTGGCCAAGATTGTGAAACTCCATCTCTACTAAAAACACCAAAAAATTAGCTGGGTGCAGTGGCAGAAGCCTGTAATCCCAGCTACTGTGGAGGCAAGGCAGGTGGATCATGAGTCGAGTTCAAATCAGCCTGGCCAAGATGATGAAACCCCATCTCTACTAAAAACACAAAAATTAGCTGGCGTGGTGGGCAGAGGCCTGTAATCCCAGCTACTTGGGAGCTGAGCAGGAGAATCGCTTAACTCGAGGGCAGAGGTTTGCAGTGAGCTGAGATCATGTCACTGCACCCAGTCTGGCGACAGAGTAAGACTCCGTCTCCAAAAAAAAAAAAAAAACTCACTGAGTCTTGTCTCATCCTGGATCCCATTCCTTTATCTGAGTACAGCCAATTTTTAGCTTCTACTCTGTTAGAGAGAGACTGCCTTAGCAAGACAAAAAGCAACAACAAAATGTCTTGTGATGTTTAAATAGGATACTGGGCCGACCCGGTGGGCTCTGCCTGTAATTCCAGGCATTTTGGAGGCTGAGGCAGTTGGATCACTTGAGGTCAGGAGTTCAAGGACCCAAGCCTGTCATCACGGTGAAACCCCACTCTGTACTAAAAATACAAAAAAAAAAAAAAAAAAAAAATTAGCCAGGCGTGGTGGTGGGTGTCTGTAATCCCAGCTACTCAGGAGGCTGTGGCAACAGAATCACTGGAACCTGGAAGGCAGAGGTTGCAGTCAGCTGAGATCATGCTACTACACTCCAGCCTGGGCAACAGAGCAAGACTCCATCTCAAAAAATAAAATAAAATAGGGATACTGAAATAATTAACAACCCTGGGCTGAGAGGAAATCTACTCTTCCTAGTGGATGGCAGCATAGGCAGAAGATGAACCAGGATCAGACTGGTTGTTCTCACTTACTCCCACTCCCACACTTGCAGGGAACATTGGACAGTGTTTGGAAATGTTTTTCATTGTCACATTTGCAGGTGCTACTGGCATCTGGTAGGTAGAGACCAGGGATGCTGCTGAACATCATACAATGCATAGGACAGCCCTCCACAGCCAGGAACTATCTGGCCCAAAACATCAGCAGTGCTAAAGGTGAGAAACCACATGCTGGAAATCACGTGGTCCACCACAGGCATAAACATCATCACCATCATCATCATTATCATTATCACCAACATCATTATCATCATCACCATCATCACCATCATTATTATTATGATCACCATCATCACCGTCACTGTCATCATCACCATCATCACCATTGTCACCATCTTCATCACAGCCACCATCACCATCATTATCCCCACCATCATCACAATCATCACCATCCTCATCACTATGATCACCATCATTATTATAATGATCATCACTGTCATCATCAGCACCATCAACACCATCATCATCACCATTACCATCATCACCATTACTATCATCGTCATCATCACCACCATCACCCTCACCATCACCATTATGATCATCACCATCATCACTACCATCACCCTCACCATCACCATCACCATTATGATCATCACCATCATCACCATCACCATCACCATCATCACCATTATCATCACCATCATCATTATCATCACCACCAGCAGCAGCAGCAGCACCATTATCACCATGATCATCATCATCACTGCCATCACCATCATCATCAGCACCATCATCATCATCATCGTCGTCACCACCACCACCATCACCATCACATCATCATAATCACCATCACCATCATCATTATAATGATCACCATCATCACCATCAGCAGCAGCACCATCAACACCATCATCACCATCACCATCATCACCATTACCATCAGCATCATCCTCACCATCATCACTATGATCACCATCATCATCATAATGATTACCATCATCACTGTCATCACCAGCACCATCAACACCATCATCATCACCATTACCATCATCATCACCATCACTACCATCACCGTCTTCATCACAACCATCACCACCATAATTACCATCACCATCATCATCACCATCATCATCCCCACCATCATCATCATCACCATCATCACTGTTATCACCGTCATCACCATCATCAGCACCATCATCATCAGCACCATCATCATCAGCATCATCATCACCATCACCATCACATCATCATCACTATCACCATCATCATTATAATAATCACCGTCATCACCGTCAGCAGCAGCACCATTAACACCATCATCATCACCACCATCACCATCATCATCACCATTACCATCATCAGTATCATCACCATCATCACGGCCATGACCATCATCACCATCAGTAGCAGCAGCACCACCATCATCAGCACCATCAGCACCACCATCATCATCACCATCATCATCATCATCACCATCACCATCATCATTATATTGATGAGATTTACTGTGCACTTACTGGACATCAACTCCAGTTCTAAGTGCTTTACATACATTGACCCTTTTACCCTCATAACAACACTATAAGGTGGGTACTATTACAGTCCTCATTTTCAGAGAGGATAAGTAACTGGCTGCAATGGACTGAATGTTTATGTACTCCCAAAATTTATATGTTGATATCCTAACCCCCAAGGTGATATTAGGTGATATTACTGGGAAGCAGGGCCTTTGAGAGGTAATTACGTCATGAGGGTGGAGCCCTCATGAATGGGATTAGTGCTCTTATAAAAGATACCTCAGAGAGCTCACTCACCCCTTTCACCACGCGGGGCTACAAGAAGAAGATGGTGCTGACCTATGAACCAGGAAGTGGGCCCTAACCAGATATGAAGTTTCTGGCACCTTGATCTTGGGCTTCTCAGCCTCCAGAACAATGAGAAATAAATCTCTGTTGTTTATAAGCCACCCAGTTTATGGTAGTTTGTTACAGTAAGCAAAAGTCACTCAACTGGTAAACAGCAAAGACAGATTCCAACTCAGATGCCTGGCCACCCCCAGGTAGGGATGGGAGAATACCCCAAAACAATTCGATCAATTGGACTTACATTTTTTTCTCCTGTAGCTGAACGAGGACCTGGAACAGGAGTTAAGAGGGATTATAAAATATTCATTCTGCCAGACGCAGTAGCTCACACCTGTAACCCCTACATTTTGAGAGGCCAAGGCAGGAAGATTGCTTCAGCCCAGGAGTTCGAGACCAGCCTGGGCAACATAATGAGACCCCCATCTCTACAAAAAATTAAAAATTAGCCAAGAGTGGTGACACATGCCTGTAGTCCCAGCTACTTAGGAGGCCGAGGTAGGAGGATCTCATGAACCCAGGAGGTTGAGGCTACAGTGAGCCACGTTTGCACCACTGAACTCCAGCCTGGGTGACAGAACAAGACCCTGTCTCAAAAGCATAAAATAGCAGGGCTGGGTGCAGTGGTTCATGCCTTTGGGACGCCAAGGTAGGGCATTTGGGGAAGCCAAGGTGGGTGGATCACCTGAGGTTAGGAGTTCGAGACCAGCCTGGCTAACACAGTGAAACCTCATTTCTACTAAAAATACAAATATTAGCTGGGCGTGGTGGTGGGCGCCTGTAATCCCAGCTACTCAGGAGGCTGAGGCAGGAGAATCGCTTGAACCCGGGAGGCGGAGCTTGCAGTGAGCCAAGAGCATGCCACGGCACTCCAGCCTGGGTGACAGAGTAAGACTTCATCTCAAAAAAAATTAATAATACTTGGCCTCTTCTACCAGACCCAGGCCACCCCAGAAAAGGTGGCTGAGACGGGGAAGCCAGGGATGCCCAGAGGAGACCAGATGCAGCCAGGAGGGTGTCTAGGAAGGATCAGGGTAAATCAACATTGAGTGAAGTCACAGAGACAGGGCGTCCCCCCAGTGCCCAGCACTCGGACCTCCTCAACACAGCTGCGCCCAATCAAACACCCCCTCCTGCCTCATCCTCATCCTCCTGCTATCCCATGCAGCCCGGACACCTGGGCAGTTTGGGGCACCCCCGCCCCCAAACTGTGACAACATCCACCCCACACTTGGGCCAGGCACACAAACCTCACATCCGCTCCCTGGGATGAGGGACTGGCAGGGACCGCCCGCTCCACAACCTGTTTCCACCCTTTCTATCCACTTCACCCCTACTGCTCCCTCCATGTGGCCTCAGGGACCTGCACGGAGCTGTCCAGCTCACCTATTGTGACCTGGTCCTCAGCCTGCCTGAGCTTTTCTCCACGCCCCTACTCCGGCCTCCCATCCGGAGACCTCCTCTCCAAGTCTCTATTCTTCTCCTATCCCCAGTTCACCTCTCCCCACCCAGAAAATCTCTTTCCTAGGCTCCAGGATGGGATACTTGTTTCTTTTCTTTATTTTATGTACCTGTATTTATTATTTATTTGTATTTTACATTTATTTTATTTATATATTTTTTTGCGACCGGCGCCTGGCTAATTGCTAAGGACTGGCGCAGTGCCGTGGCACGTCTCGGCCTCGCACATCCACCTCACCGATGTCAAGTGAACTTTCACTGCCTCAGCCTCCTAAGTTACACGCTGGACTAATCAGGCTGCGCCCACGATAGCCAGCTAATTATTATTACTTTTTAGTCGAACGACAAGGGATGTACCCATTGTTTAGCTCAGCGCAATGAGTTCGCACACCCTGACCTACGCTCTCCGCCCAACCTCGGACCTCCCAGTGTTTGGGGAGTTACAGGCATCCGAAGCCAGCCAACCGGCCATACCCATGTTTCCATATACAGATTCTTCATCCGTGGCCTCACAACTATCATCCCAGCAATTTGGAGAGGCACCCAAGGCGGCAATCACCCTGAGTCAGGAGTACACTCCGACGACCAGCCCAGTCCAAGATGGTGAACCCACTGCTCATCACCTACATAAACTCCAAAATAATCAGCCAGGCCGGTGGGGCCTGTCATAACTTCTCAGTTATTCCGAAAGGCCTGAGGCAGTGAAATCGCTCGAACCTGGGTGGGGAGCTTGCGCCACAGCCGAGATTCACACCACTGCACTCCCCCTGGCGACAGAGGCGACGCATTCCATCCCCCGAAAAATAAAAATAAAAATATTCCTCAAAGTCTGTTTTGGATGGAAGCCTTCCCTATCCCCGTAGGCATTCGTGGAACTCTCCGGGTCAGGAAAATGCCTCTTTTTTTCCAAGTGGACCTCTATCTTGGGCATATAGAGCACCAGCGCCCCTTGCTCAGGGAAAGACAGCGTAGCCATAATAACCCACAAAGATTTAAAACCAAACCAAAAACAAAATTACACGATTTCCACAACAAAGAAGATAAAAACAGACAAACATTTCTAAAATCAAAAAGCACATGTTAATACATTTTATCAAAATCAAACAAAAAAAAAGTAAGTTAATTACACAAAAAACTCCAAACCAAAACAGACTTGGGTGTGGTGGGATCATGCCTGTAATCCACAACAACTTCTGGGAAGGCGACGGTGGGAGGAATCACTTCAAAGGCCAGGAGTTTGAGCCCAGCCTGGGTACGGTAGATCTGTGCACTACAAAAAATTTTTTAAATTAGCCAGTATCGTGGTGGTGAATGCCTGTCAATCACAACCCGCTACCGAGGCTGAGGCAGGAGGGCTTCAATTGGTACCCACAGAGCGTTGGGGAGTCCTGCCTGAACTGTGCTCGCGTGCCTCGGATCCAGCCTCGCCGTGCGCCACCGCCCAATTGTCTCTCACCAAACAAACACAAACAAAAAACAAAAAGCCGAGGGTGAGGTGGCCCTGCCCCCGTAACACTCTAGCACTACTTGGGCAGAGCTCGACGGCACAATCCTGCGGACTCCCGACCGCCTCCGCGACATCTCGCTCACTGCGTCACTGTTCTCTACCACTCCAAAAAAAAAAAAAAAAATTTAGCCGGTGCGTGGTTGGGGGCGACCTGTAGTCCAAACCCGCTGGGAGGCTGAGGGCGAGGAGAACTGGCGTGAACCCGAGAGTACGGAGCTTACAGTGACCGAGATCACATCACAGCACTCCCAGCTGGGGTGACAGAGTGAGACTCCATTCCTCAAAACAAAAAAACAACAAAAAAGGGCCTGTAAATCTGTACTTTGGAAGGCCAAAGGCTGGTGATCCCTGAGGCTCACGGAGTCCGGAACCAGCTGGCGGCCGATAGTGGTGATAACCCCTCTTCTCTACTAAAAATACAAAAATTCAGACCTGACGTGGTCGGCGGGTGCCTATAATCACAGCTACCTGGCGAGGCTCCGAGGCAGGAGATCTATCTTGAAGGCCGGCAAGGCGGAGCTTGGCAGTGAGCGCCGAGACTCGTGCCTCTGCACTCCAGCCTGGGCGCACAGAGCGAAACTGGCCTCTCAAAAGAAAAAAAAACGACAAAAGAAAAAGAAAAAAATTGTTGTTACTTTAAAAAGATTACAAATCCCAAACAAAAGTAATAGCAAAATAATGTAACAACAACCAAAAACAGAAATAATCATAATAGCACCACTTACTTTGTGCGCAGCACTATGGTCTCACCACTGTCCCATCGCTCAGTGTTGCATCCTGCCCACCCCCCTGATAAGCCCATTTTCCGAATGAGAAAGAGAAAACTGAGACGTGGAGAAGTTTAAATAATGGGCAAAGATCGGCAAGGTGGGATTTGAACTCCCAGCCCCCGGCATTAAAAGATGAAGGAGGATGAAACATTAGTTGTGAAATATCACCCTACACAGAGACCAGTCTTACACAGGTGTAAAGGTTTAGGTCTAGAGGGGCTTGAGCCCAGTATGTTGCACGTGGAGCATTTAGGGGTTGTATGGGTTGAGAAACCTCCAGATAGCTGGGGGCTTCCAGCCATGGGGACTTTCAACTGTTGTAGGACACTGACCTGGCAACCACCGAACCCTTTTGGGCCCCAAAACTGCACGAGGCAGGGGTGAAGCGGGTGCACCCAGCCCTCAGATCATTCTGGGCTCA